GCACGGTATCAAAAATTTGCGAGTGATCGACACGTCGATCATGCCGGAAGTGACGAGCGGGAATACTAATGCGCCGACTATGATGATTGCAGAGAAGGGAGCGGATATGGTTAAACAGGATTGGGGCGTAAAGATACAGATATGAGAAACTGAGATGATTTAAAAATATTATATGCAAAATAATTGTTTTATGTATTACTTTTGTGTAATTAGCTCATGTAAAAAAAAAATATTTCTATCTTAAATATTTATTAGCATAATTACTTCAATCAATAAAATTTTCCAACATATTTTCAATATTTTATTGTTCATGAGCAAAGAGGAGAGTATTGGGTTTGGGAGATGGGAATAGTATACTATCTTCTTTATTATTTAAAATGATACTTCTTTTTTCATAAGAAGAATACGCAACGTCATTTATTCTCCCTCTTAGTTAGATTATGCAAAAATATGTTACAAAGCCAAGATTAAGCATCGCATTGTAAACATTTCTCTATCTAATTTATTTAGTCTAATTTAATTAATGATAATGGAGATAATGATGTCGCGTCGTTCTCTTTTTATGAAAATTCAGCACAGAGAAGTTAAACTTTTAATTATTATTTTTAATTGTAAAGAAGATAGCGTATATCTGCTTTTAAGTTTTTTCTTTTTTTATATATATAAAAATAAAATTATATATATAAAACAAAAGAAAAATTTTTTCTTTCAAATGAGAATACTTACTTATTATGGAATTAATCACTCTTATTCCGTTTCATATTTTAAATAAATAATTCCAGTTCCATTTTTTAGAATTAATCACGTTATCAATATAAAAATGTATAATAAAAAAATCACGTAAATTGCCGATAACCTAAAATGATACGCTAACTGATCTATGTTGGCAAGGAATGAAAAAATAAGCTAAAAATAAGAAATAGTTTTTTATTTTATCAACAAAAATTCTCGATATTTAAATTAAAATTTTATCATTTGACCTTTTTATCGTTTTAATAGCTTTTAAAAATTCATTCACTATTGAAAGATTATTATATATATTAATTAAATTAAATAAATAAAATTATTTGAAATTTTTATCGTCAATTAAAAATAGAAGATATTAATTCTGTTGATTACAGATTTTTTTTTATATCTTATATTTTGATGTTTTCTGATTGATCGTATAATAAAATCGAAAAAATATGTATATTTCAAGCAAATATGAGATAGACGAAAATGAAAAAAAATATTTCGATATAAGCAAGTCGAGATTAGCCAGTTACTTATTACGGCTTATAATACACTATTCGGTTTTGTCTCGTTTTAGAATCGAATGAAAGTATTTCGAAGTAACGGCAAGTATAGTAAAATAGTAAATCAAGCAAAAATATTATTCTTGCTTTAAAAAAAAAAAAATATCGTTCTATGATTTGAAAATCTATATTAAATATAAATTGAAATCTCGTTGTATTATTTAATTTCGTAATAATTACTTCTAATTTATTTCACATTTCATTTATTTTAATCTTAGATTATTAATTTTAATATTAATAATTTTATTACGTATTATTTCACATCTCATTTGTTTTAATCTTACTTCAAGGAAAAATTTACTTTATTTGCAGATTCAATCTCTTAAGGAAAATTTTAAAAGAAGAGAAGAGATTACTGATTAGGAGTAACGAATGCAATAAATAGTTGCTCAATTAGTATTTATCTTCTGAAGAGAAAAGTTAATAGAAGAAGAACATTCAAAGAGCAGAGATAAAACAATAGGTAAATATTAATAATTTTTTCTTTAAATTAATTTTATTAATTAGTTTTATTTTTAGTATTCATCTTCATAATCGTATTTGAAACGAAAAACTGAAGATATATATTTCGGAATTTTTAAAAATAATTATTACATTTGACAATATAATATTTATATCTGTCAAATAATATAATTTTTTAATTCTTTTTAAATGATATAATTTTTACATTCTCGTTACTATTGCTTATAATTATTATTACAAAATTAATACGAAATATGTATATGAATACACATACAATAGTTCATATCATTTGAAAATTCAATCCAAATAATAAATAATTTTTGAAATTATGATTAAAAAAAAATCATTTGAATTGCATCAATCGCTCAATTCATAAAATTTATTGACTTTATTTTACAAAATATTCAAAAAACAAAAATAAAAATAAGAATTAACATCTAAATATTATCGATTAATATATTTTATATTTCATAAAAATATATATTGTTACAGAGAAATCATTAATTCTCGAAAAAAACACGGAAACATGGACTCGTGTATGGCCAGAAGTTGTTCGCCGATGCTACAATCGTCGCCAATTTGCTTTTTTACTTTATTGCTACAAACGTTGGAGACATCCTATTATGGATTAAGTAATCCGAATATATATCCCAGAGATCGCACACAAGAGATTTTAAGTTCGAAAATGGAATTCGATTTTGTGATCGTTGGTGGTGGAAGCGCGGGATCTGTTTTGGCTCGCAGATTAACGGAAGTGGAGGATTGGAAGGTTTTGTTAATCGAAAGAGGAGGGTATCCTTTACCCGAAACCGTGATTCCTGGTTTCTTCACCAATAATTTGGGTTTGTCACAGGATTATGCTTACAAGGTAAAAGCAAAAATAAGCTAATTTTAGAGAGAAAGAGAGAGAAAGAAAGAATCGTATGTATGTTTCTCTGTCCTTGAAAAAATCGATAGGAATTTTATTTTTAAAAAATAATTATTTTTAGAAAAGTGTTATAAATATGTGAATCATAATAATGAGTTATCATTTTTCAATAACGATTTATAAATTATGTATAAATGATATGAAATGTGATATAGGAAAAAATATTTCATACAAAAATATTCATACAAAAATGTAAGAAGATCATATTTGATGTATATTTTGTATTGGAACGTTAGGATTTTCTTCGTTATTTTTTTTTCTTTTTTTTTCTTTTTATAAATATGAAAATTATCATTCTTTATAAAAATATTGATATAGTAAAAAATTATTTGTTTATAAGATTTGTATTTTTTTATGAAACGAAAAGATATTTGTTCCGTTGTCTTGTTTTTATTCTTCATATGATTTATAACATTTTTATATCATTATCGAAGCAAATCATCGTTAAATATCAGAATTATTTTTGCAATAATCTGAAATTGTTTGTTTTTGCTCATATTTGTTTAACATTATACTTGACTCCTCATATCGTATTTTCACAAGTTTTGCGAGAATATTTTTCTTCGTGTATTTTTCTTCGATATAAAATGATTAAGAATGAAAACTTTCCTATTTACATCATAATAGTTGTATTATTACAACAATTTCAACGATTCAAAATTGAAACGAATAAATAAAACATTAATTATTAATTATTTTAAAACGAAATAAAAAAAACATAACATTCCATACCTTTTTTTCTTTATCTAATTTTAATCATTTCTGTGTAAAGGTCGAGAGTCAAGAAAAAGCCTGCTTGAGCCAAGTCGACAAACGATGCAGATGGTCGAAAGGTAAAGCCCTTGGTGGAAGTTCCGTTATCAACGCCATGTACTACATCTTTGGTAACAAAAAAGATTTCGACACTTGGGCAAATTTAGGAAATCCCGGATGGAATTACGAACAAGTACTTCCATACTTTAGAAAATCGTTGAGCTGTTCATCCGAATACATAGCCGAGCATGGTACCGAGTATTGCGGAACAGACGGCCCTTTAAGAATCAGAAATTACAATTACACTGCATCAGACGCGATAGACATAATGTTGGAAGCCGCGCGCGAGACGGGATACGATATTCTCGAACCATTGAACGGTGATCGTTTTATCGGATTTGGAAGAGCGATGGGCAACCTCGACAATGGGCAACGGCAAAATTGTGCAAAAGCTTTCCTCTCCCCGGTCAAAAACAGAAAGAATCTGTACGTAATTACGTCGAGCAGAGCGGACAAGATTCTGTTCGAGGATGAACGTGCTGTCGGTGTACGAGTCACTTTGAGCAACAACGAAACGGTGGAAGTGAGAGCGACGAAGGAAGTGATTCTGTCGGCGGGAAGTATCGCCAGTCCTCAGATACTGATGCTCTCGGGAATCGGGCCAAAGGAGCATTTGAAAAAAATGGGAATATCCACTCTCGTCGATCTGCCTGTCGGGAGGAATCTTCAAGATCACGTGTCGTGGTTAACGTTTTACTTAACCTATGCGAATGAATCGATGACACCTTCTCCCGACGAGAAGAATCAGATGGACGCTATTTACGAGTATTTGAAACAAAATATTGGCCCGTTACACACCCTTCCAATCGAATTTACCGGTTTCGTGAACGTGGACGATCCTCATTCGAAGTATCCGAATGTTCAATTTATGTTCATACCAATAGAATATTTAACCCAGTTAACATCATTCCTACATTCCTTCAACGTGGACAATGATCTGATAGAAAGGATTGGAAAGGATATCAAGGAAATGAAAATAATTTTTGGCTTCCCTATATTATTGAAACCTTTGAGCCGAGGTTTACTCGAGTTGCGTAGCACCGATCCGGCCGATCCTGTTAAGATTTATCCGAATTACTTCGTCGAGGAGGAAGATTTCAAAACGTTGTTGAAATCCGTGAATATCACTAAGGCACTCTTAAACACCAAGGCTCTGAAGAAGTACGGCATAAAGTTATATTATCCTGACATTCCCGGATGTCGACACACGAAGCCAGATACCGATGAATATTGGGAATGCAATCTTAAGCACTTGTCTAGCACGTTGTATCATCCTTGTGGAACGGCCATGATGGGACCGGCCAACGATTCCAGAGCCGTTGTGGATTCGAGATTGAAAG